GCACCAGCAGCACCTCTAGTACCTCCAGCAGTACCTCCAGCACCTCCAGCACCTCTAGGACTAGTAGCTCCAGCACCAGCAGCACCTCTAGGACTAGTAGCTCCAGCACCAGCAGGACTGTACCCTCCACCACCAGGACTACCTTGCCGAACGACCCACGCACGAATCGCCTGCGGCGAGAGTGTCTCAAGTAGAGCAGGCTGCGGTGGCTGTCCAGCTCTAGCACCTCCAGTAGTGGTAGCTCTAGCACCTCCAGCACCAGAAGCACCTCTAGTACCTCTAGCTCCAGGACCTCCAACAGGGTCACCCACAACTCCACCGCCACTAGGACTCGCAGCACCCCCAGAGTCAGCACCCCCAGTCGCAGCACCCCCAGAACCAGCACCCCCAGGCACAGCACCTCCAGAACCCTCACCCTCTGTCTCAGCACGTGTAGTCTCAGCTCCAGAGTCCATAGCAGCAGGCTGCGGAGGGGGCGAGGCAGGACTGGGAAGTCCTGCTGAAAACGCTCGTGCAGCTGGAGACGATTAGCACGGATCCAGGGGATCAAAACACCGCTGACGTCCGCCTTGTGATGCAAGGGGAAGACTGTGGTGTAGCGTGTGTAGTCGTCAACAACCAACAGGAAGTAGCGCTCCTGACTCGTTCCACCGATGGGGGCCGGGCCCCACACGTCCATGTGGAGAGTCTACAGAGGAGCGGTGGTCGGAGGAAACTCGGAGGAGTGAGGAGCGGCGCGCTGCCGCCCCTCGACGCAAGGAAGACACGGCGGGGCAAGCGAGCGCGGCAGGGGGGGCAGGGTCCTGGAGAGGCCAGAGACAAGGAGACGGGAGTGCATGCTGCGTAGACGCGGCAGGGAGGGGTGACCAAGATGGTGGTGCCAGCGCTGAGTCTCGTGCGTGAGTACTCTGCACGAGCAGGACGCAGCTAACTGACCCGACGCAGACGCCCGACTCGACGCGGCCACCTGACCTGACTCAGCCACCTGTGCAGACGCAGTGGTCAGTGTGTACAGACTAGACCCAGGCTGTCGAGTGAACGTAGCCAGGTGACGGCCAGTCCGGGAGCACGTACAGATAGCCACACGCTGCCCTCCAGGAATAAAGGTATCAACCCAGACATCCTGAATGGCAGCGTTGCTCACCAAGTTCGTCGAGATCGTGGGGAGGTGGAGACCAGACAGAGAGCCGGAGGGGACTGTTGGACAAGGGAGGACCGTGGAGGCTCTCGCAACTACTGGGCCCCCAGAGGGGTCAGCCAGTGAGACTGGGACAGGTGCTGTGAGTGGTGTGACTGTGGTGCAATCACAAAAGAAGCAACGTGACGCGCCTGAGTCAAGCGTGAAAGTGTACAAGACCTCAGCTGAGGCAGGACCTGTGGTAGTAGACGCACTAGCACCTAGAGCGTCGGCAGACTCACGGGCACCTAGAGCTGCAGCAGACTCACTAGTACCTGGAGCGGCAGCAGACTCACTAGCACCTGGAGCGGCAGCAGACTCACTAGAACCGAGAGCAGGAACCTCTTCACAGCCAGGGACGCATCGCTGAGAAGCACAGTCGCGACGTCGCTTAGGCCACTTAAAATCAAAACCTCCACCACCAGGCCTGCCTCGCTGAAAAACCCACTCACGAAGCTGCTGAGGGGTGGGGTCGTCCAGGAGAGGCAATGCCCGCTGCTGTCCACCCCTGGCCGCAGCAACTGCCGCGATAGTGGCCATGACAGACAGCGACGGTCAGGAGTAGGTCCAGTACCTCCTGCTCCTCCAGCACCAGCAGCACCTCCAGCACTCCCAGCAGCACCTCCACCAGCAGCAGCAGTAGTAGCACCAGCAGGGCGGCTCGGTGGGGCTGGGCGGCCGCACCTCCTGCACTCCCAGCAGCAGTAGCACGAGTAGCAGCAGCAGCAGTAGTAACAGCAGCAGGGCGTTCCGGTGGGGCTGGGCGGCCGCACCTCCACCACTCCCAGCAGTACCTCCTCCAGCAGCAGCAGTAGAACGAGCAGCAGCAGTAGCAGTAGTTGTAGCAGGGCGGCTCAGGTTGAGTAGGGCGGCTCGGGTTTGGGCGGCGCGGCTCGGGCTAGGCGGCGCGGCTCGACAGGGCGGCGCACGGGCTGCAGGGGCAGCACGCACGGGTTGCAGGGGCGACGCGCGGGCTGCAGGGGCAGCTCGCACGGGCTGCAGGGGCGACGCGCGGCTCGGCAGGGCGACGCGCGGCTCGGCAGAGCGGCGCGCGAGCTGCAGGAGCGGCGCGCGGGCTGCATGGGCAGCACGAACTGGCTGCAGGGGCGGCGCGCGTGCTGCAGAGGCGACGCGCGGGCTGCAGGGGCAGCACGAACTGGCTGCAGGGGCCGCGCGCACGGGCTGCAGAGGCGACGCGCGGCTCGGCAGGGCGACGCACGGGCTGCAGGGGTAGCGCGAACGGGCTGCAGAGGCGACGCCGGCTCGGCAGGGCGGCGCACTAGCTGTAGGGGCGGTGCGTGGGCTGCAGGGGCAGCACGCACGGGCTGCAGGAGCGACGCACGGGCTGCAGGGGCAGTGCGTGGGCCACAGGGGCAGGCACGGCTGCAGGGGCAGCACGGTCGCAGGGGCGAGTACGGCTGCAAGGGCAGCACGGTCGCAGGGGCGAGCACGGCTGCAGGGGCAGCACGGTCGCAGGGGCGAGCATGGCTGCAGGGGCAGCGCGGTCGCAGGGGCAGCGCGCGGGCTGCAAGGGCAGCGCGGCTGCAGGGGCAGCGTAGGAAGAAAACATTTACGGTTAGGGCAGGGCGGAACGTTCGGTGGGCCCTAGGAACGATTCTGCTCTAATACCATGTTAGAATAAGCAAGCAGGAATGATGGACTAGGTAGCATGCATGAGTACAAGTGCCTAACCCTAAAGTGTTGTACCCCTTGTAGGCTAACCCACTATAGCCTAGAGACAACACAAACATACAGTTTGACAGATAGTTCTCACCTTAATACCCAGCGAGGCGTATAAACAAGTGGGTAGGCGGATTACGATCGACAGCTGGGGTAATATCAAGGGGGGTTTCCTCTATAACCTTTACCTTTACCTTTCACTTGATTTCGACCAATGGGAACAATGCACGGATGAAAATGTGGTGTTACGAGTGGGAAGGGCGAACATGATTTTGACCAATAAGGTTGGAGTTCGCTGCTCAAGATGTCAGTTCGGATTTGGGTGGGTGCAAGTTCGAGTTGAGTGTTTTCTGGACCAGTTTGTAGCTGTTCACGCCACTAGTTTTGGAGGAATGGGATTGGCTGATGTTTGCGCGGCAAGTTCGGTTCATCAACGAGCGACTAGCTGCTCGCGCCACCACTTTTGGAGGGCTGGATTGGCTGATGCTCGCGCGAGAGCTTCATTTGCGAGCTCGCAGCTGGTCGTTGTAATTGCCGGTCAAGAATAGATTTAGTATAAGAACTTTCTGTTCTTGCTTGTTTAAAAAATAATAACTTGAGTATAAGGTTTCCTCTAGTGCCCAAGCACCCAAGGACCCTAGGATAGGAGGTGACCCCGAGGAGAGCGTTCTAGTATCAGCTAAGGCTGCAAATAGATGCATTAGTGTGCTATAAACGTAACAGGTGAAAGTGTTCCTACTCTGCCTGCGGAAGGAGGCTATCGATAGCAAGGCGCGCATCAACACCACACGCCTCCCAGAGTGTGCGCTCTAGTTGGGCTGTGCGGTACTCCTTCCGCAGCGCCGACGTGGTGTCAGTAGCAATATCAAAAGCACACGGAGGAGGGGAGGAGGGGGAGGGGGGGGGGGGGGGGGGGGGATGGGGGATGGGGGGCTGGTCGCTCACCCTAGCCGTGGGCATGCAATTGGACGTCAATATGTAGTTGGCTCTGCAGGTAGAGTTTGACGTCGAGCAGTCACGCAGCAAAATTGATCGCACGTCCCTCCACATCGAAATGCAAGACATAGGCAGTCGCCGTAACAGCACGGAGCAGGGGCACAGCTAAAGCAAGTGAGAGGAAACGGCCACAGGAGGAGGAGGAGACTGGTAACAGGAAACCATAAATTGCAGATGCACGATGGTGAGGCGGTAGGGCGCGTAGTAGGGCACATCAGCGCGGGCTGCAGGCGCATGCCAGGTACACACACCAATGGCACGGGCGCAGGCAAGCGCGGGCGGCAACGACGCGGGCGCGGCAGCAGGGGCTGTCGCACAAGCAGGCGCTCAGCAGGTGCAATCGCAATGTTGGTTGGTACTCAGGCAGGCGTGCAGCTCGCGCGAGCGGCAAATGGGCTGGCGTGGGGCGGTGCGCGGCTGGCACGGGCGGCGCGCTGGCTGGCGCGGGCGCCGGGCTGGCACTGCTGGTACTGGCTAGCGCGGTTGGCGCTACTAGCGCAGGCTGGCGTGGGCGGCGCGAGCAGGCGTGGCTGGCGTTGACGGCGCGGGTTGGCATAACTAGGGGGGCGATAGGTGGCGCACTAGGGGGCGCACTAGGGGCACGCTAGGGGGTGCGCTAGGTACACGTTAGGGGGCGCGCTAGGGGCACGCTAGGGGGCGCGCTAGGGGGCACGGTAGGGGGTGCACTTGGGGTGCACTAGGGGCGCACTAGGGGCGTGCTAGGGGGGCATGAGGGTAGGATGCGCTAGGGGAGGTCTAAGGGGCGTAACTAGGGATGGCTAGGGTAGGCGAGGCGGAAACGATAACGTAACCTGATATCATGTCAAAGAATGTAGCAGAGACTAAAATGACGCCATAAAGTTTATGATATCTACCAAACTTGTAACCTCTACAAACTAACTTAGTTTATGATACCGGTAAGTAAACTTGTACATATGCACATGCATAAGTGTATGTGTAAATTGGCAATATTTCTCCGTATCACGTAGTGAAATGTGCTTCCTTCTATACATATATAGAATCATATACTGTATCATTATCATCTCACAATACTATACTCTTTGGCATAAACTGATTGTTTACAGGTCATCTAGCCAAGCCGAAACTTCTTGGGCCAACTTTCGAATATCCACCAAAGCACTCGACTTCAGTCCTTGGGCAATAGCATCAACCGGTGAGAAAGCATCTTGGACTGGCCATGACACATCCTGCACACACAGCAGCAACACATGTGGTAACAAAAGGCGAAACAAGCGATACCCATCAAAACATCATTGCAGAAACAACAGGCAGGCAGGATCAGCAATAAAGAAACCATACCGGAGCGAGGGGAGTGGCGTGAGTCCCCTCAAGCAGCAGAGTGGACACTGAGCCACCGATCTCCTCCATGCGCCCTGTGAGAATGGGCTCCAGCTGGTCCGTCTCATCTAAGGTGTCGACCGAGAACTTGATCTGCGGGGAGGGAGGGATGAGATGCGGGAGGACAGGTTGTGTGCGGACGGATTAGATTCACAAGTGAGAATCGGCTCCAACTGATCCGTCTAGTCCCAAGCCAACTGAGAACGTGATCTGAAGGGTATGAAGGAGATGCAAAAGGGCATGTTGTGTTTGAACCGGATTATGTGCCAAATGAGGACTGGGGTGGCCACATATGAGGGAGACGAGAGTGGGCACACATAAGAATTAATGTGTTTTTGTTTATACAGAAAAGAATATAGACAGGCCAGAGGGCTCATCTAGGACGGAGGAAGAGCTGTCAAAAGCGGACAGGTGGGCTTAGGAGGCCTTATTTCCATCAACTCGTGCTGTTTTAGGACAACGAGACAGGCTCCATGGATTAATGGAAGGATACAGCCTGGTTAAGCGCGCGCGAGAACGTTTATTAGAGAGCCAGTATGAATCAAATCTTCACTATAGACAAGCGAGTGAGCTCATCTAGGACGGGGGAAGAGGCACGCACCAGGAGGTTCCGTGGGACAGCATAGGAGGAGGCGATGAGCTTCCTTGTCTCGGCCGGTGGTGGCGTGAACTCCGACACTCCGTCCCGCACCTGGTGGCGTGAAGAGAGGTGGACGGGTGGACAGGAAGACATGCAGACGGCAACACGATGATGTATGCTACCTGCTGTCCGTAACCATAGTGGCATCTTCTTATGTGGTAACCACAGCAGCACCTTTCGCATGCAGTAACCTGTCACAAGAGGAAATCACACACCTGCTCATAAAAGAGTAATGGTAACTCCAGATATTCTAATGTAACCCAGCATGTCCAGTGTAACCAGGAGGATGCTAGCAGCTGGCCGGACTTTTACCATGCATCCATAGGGGTAATCACACCTGTCCCATCCCATGTATCCCATGGCGGTAACCGCACATGTCCCATGCAACCATGTGGTAACCACACAGATCCCATGCGACCATGTGTTAAGCACATGCCCCACGCAACCGTGTGGTAACCGCACCGGAGGCATGAAAGCGCAAGGAAGGAGGGGCCTAAGGCGTTTCCTCTCAACACAAACTCGTTCTGTCATGGTACACACCTGTCCCAGGCAACGGCATCAGAATTCAGTCACTGCACCTGCTTCCAAAACCATGATAGACTCTCTGGTAACCGCACCTGTCCGAGAACGGGCGGGATCTGTTCAAGGAAGCGCCCGAGCGGGTCAAGGTCGTTCCTCACCACCCCCGGTGGCAGCGGGATGCTGCCGCGCTGTAGGGCTTCCAACGCCTGCTCTGCACATGGGATCCACGGGAGGGCGGGGTGGGAGGGAGTGGGGTGGGATGCATTACAGTGGAGTGAGTTGCAGTGCGGTGGGGCATGGAAGAAGCTTTAACTCTGCGCTGGAGGGATTTCAATTCCTGTTCAAGAAAAGGGCTTCAGGGAAACGTGGGGTACGGTGGAGTGCGGAATCAAACAAAACCTGCTGCGCTGAAGCTTTTGACAGCTTCTCTGCATGCTCAGAGCTTCCAAGGGAGGGGAGGGTGGTACGGAATGGTGTGGAGTGTGTTTATAGATTTTAAGCTGAGAACTCTCTAGCAAGGCTGAAGCCTCCCCCGCCACACTGAGGGGAGAGCTTACAAAGGTGACTTTTGAGTCGACTCAAAAGGAGAGCTTGCAAAGGTAACGCCTGAATGGCTGCCTGCGCTGCATCGCTTTCCACAGACTGTGTCATGATGATGTTACCCGCCACACTGAGGAGAGAGCGTGGGATAAGAGGCGCCTGAATGGCTGGACGGCTGTACAGCTGAATGGCTGAACGGCTGAACGGCTGAACGGCTGAACGGCTGAATGGCTGAACGGCTGAACGGCTGAACGGCTGAACGGCTGAACGGCTGAACGGCTGAACGGCTGAACGGCTGAACGGCTGAACGGCTGAACGGCTGAACGGCTGAACGGCTGAACGGCTGAACGGCTGAACGGCTGAACGGCTGAACGGCTGAACGGCTGAACGGCTGAACGGCTGAACGGCTGAACGGCTGAATGGCTGAATGGCTGAATGGCTGAATGGCTGAATGGCTGAATGGCAGGTCCATCCATTCATGCGCCACTCGGGCACCACGTTTTTGCATGCTGAATGACGTCCGTGTGAACAGTGGCGTCTGAATGGCTGAACGGCTGAATGGCTGAATGGCTGAACGGCTGAATGGCTGAATGGCTGAATGGCTGAACGGCTGAATGGCTGAATGGCTGAATGGCTGAACGGCTGAATGGCTGAACAGCTCAATGGCAGGTCTATCCATGCGCCACTCGGGCACCACTTTTGCGTCCATGGTGAATGACGTCCGTGTGAACAGTGGCGTCTGAATGGCTGGTCCTTCTCACCAAAGCACGGATGTCGCTGCATCGTATGCTGAGGGATGCGTTACTATGTTACCCACGACACTGACTGCTGCACTGATCGCTTACCCGCCAGCCACCCTGATTGCTTACCCGCCACACTCAGCGCAATGCCAGTGAGAGGAAAGGCTTCGATGGCTGGAGCTAGCTGCTGCACTGCTGGCCCCATCTGAACGGGGGTGAGGAAAGAAGAGATTGATTGGGCGCACACAGGGAAGGGGCGAAATGTGAGAGATGCCAGTGAGAGCGAGGCTGGAGCTAGCTGCTGCACTGCTGGCCCCATCTGAACGGGGGTGAGAAAAGAAGAGATTGAGAGGAGAGGGGTGAGAAGAGAAGAGATTGATAGGGTGCAGACAGGAGAGGGGGGAGAGGAGAACTGAGGGAAATGGCCATGAGAGGGCCTTCAAAGCTGGAGCCTGGCGGCTGGTGAATGCTGAGAGGATTGCTTTTCGTGGAGTTGGAATCATAGCAGAAAACTCGCAGCCATGTGGTTGCCGACCTCACCTGGTCGAAGTATGGCACTGCAAAGGACGCTGGGCGGTTGTTGAATGCTATGATGACATTGGCCTGGAGGGGACGACGGTAGGGTGGAGGGGAGGAAAGCAGGAGAGAGGGAAGACGCTGGGCGGTTGTTGAAGGCCATGATGACATTGGCCTGGAGGGGATGAAGGCAGGAGGGGAGGGTGAGAGAGGCGAGGAGGGAGAGGGAGAGAAGGAGGGAGAGAGAGAGAGACGCAGACGCAGGAGCGCATAGGTTGGTCACTTTTCACTACCACCACCGACCGTCATGCACAGAACGTGCAAGGCGTACAACCACCATGACCATCTTAGGATGGTGGTGCTTGGTCAGCTCTCCATTACCTGCACATTCCTCTCTTCCCCGTCCCATGCACATGACGGGAAAGGAAACTTCACCTGCACCCACCTTAGGCAGCCGGTATTGGTTGGCCTGCTGACCACTCGTAGCACTGCAATGGGGTACTGGTGGTGGCGCTCATTCCAATTTAGAACCTGATGGGAGTAACTTACATGCGAACTGCGTGCGAGCACGTTTCTCCCTTCCCCGCCCCATGCACATGACACGAGCCTTCACCTGCCTTCACCTCCCTTCACCTGCCTGCATGTACCTGCACCTCCCTGCACTCACGTCAGGCAGGCGGTCTTTCTTGGTGGTGGAGAGACTGCCCATGAGCAGCTGCATGTGCACGTGACAGGACACTTCACTTGCCAGCACCTGCCAGCACCTGCCAGCACCTGCCAGCACCTGCCAGCACCTGCCTGAACCTGCATGCACTCACGTCAGGCAGGCGGTCTCTCTTGGTGGTGGAGAGACTACCCATCAGCAGCTGCATCAGAGCGCCATTGCTGGAACGGAAAGGGGTGAGCGGGAAAAGGAAATGGAGATGTGGAGAGCAATGGACTTTCACTTGCAGGTGGAGAGACTGCCCATCAGCAGCTGCATCAGAGCGCCGTTGCTGGGAGGGAGGGAAAACAGGGAGATGGAAGTATTGGTTGGGACGGTCGTCGGTGGACGAGAGTAAGATGGGGAATGGGGGTGGCGATCTTGGCCAGGAGCAGCTGCATCAGGGCGCCGTGCTGGGGGAGGGGGGGGAGAGAGAGGGAAAAAGTGGAGATGGAAGTGTGCTTGAGGGAAGGGAACGGAGCAAAGGGGAGCAATGGGCACGGTGAATGCGGGAGGCGAGACCACCCATGAGCAGCTGCATCAGAGCGCCGTTGCTGGGGGGGAGGGGATGAAGGAACAGGGAAAGGCGTGATTGATACAAGAAACAGAGGAGGGTGATGAGAAGAGCATTGCTGCTAGGGTCGAGGGAGAACGAAGTAACGAAGGGATGATTTGGACAAGACTGTGTTAATTCCAGGGGGGGGGGAGAGGAAACAAGATGACACTCTTGAAACAAAAAACGGAGGACTGATAAGAACTGCTGCTAGGAACGAGACAGCGACATGGGATAGCGAGGGGGCGTTGGGCAATAGAGATAGAGTGGGATGATGGGGACGCTGAAGGAAGGAATGTGGTCAAGGCTCTTTTGATCAGGGGCACGATTGATGGAGAGTGGGAGATAGAGGGGCAGAAGGGTGAAGAACAAAAGGGGCAGAGGGCAGAGGGGCAGAGGGACAAAACAAAGGGGCTTGTCACCATGTAATGCTGAGCCACCTTATCTCTCTGTTCAGAAACATTGACCACCATTGATCAGCGTTGACCAGCATTGACCACACCTGTGTCCCACGCTGTAGACTGGCAGACCGTCCACGTCAGCAGCAGAGATCCCTGCAGAGGGCAGCCCGTGCAGCTGGAGCACATCGAGTGCTGACGTGGCACGGGCGTGCAGGCCGGCAGCTGCTGCCACGTGGTCGAAGGTGATTGGATTAGGCACAGCCACCACCAGATAGCCGCCCTTAGCAAGAAGGTCCAGAAAGTAACTGCAAGCAATGGAGGGCAGGGAAAGGAGAAGGAAAGGGGAAGGACGATGAAAACGCGTGATGAGTACGAGAGATACTGAGAAGGAACGGACATGGGATAAGTAAGAGGAGGAAAAATGAAGTACAGCGGAGAGCGGAACAAGGGAGAGGGAGCGCTGCATGGAAAGAAAACGAAGGGAAGAGGACGGGAGGCAGAGAGAGGAAGAGGAGGGGCAGACAAGGGGCCAGAAAGGCCTGGGGGCAGTTATGCGCTGGATTGTTAAATGGGGGGAGAGAGCACAGAGGAATGGGAGAGTGGGGAACGCTGCATATGACTGTGTTGCTTCGGGCTTTGAGCCTCACGAGCAGCATCTGAGCTACGACCACGCATGGGGGAAACGAATGACATAGAGTTGAGGAGGGAAGCCAAGCAGAACAAAGCAGACGAGACCGGACCAGACTGGACTAGCCGAGAGCTGAACCGAGCCGACCCAACCCGTTCCGACCCGACCTGACCCGACCGTCAGGCCTGACCCGACCCAAACCGAACCGAGCTGGCGCGACCCGACCTGACCGGACCAGACCGGACTGGACCAGATCAGACCATGTCACACCACACTGCACCAGACCAGACCTGTAGAAGACGTCTGGCGAAGCTCCCAGGAAGGCGCCTCCAAAGAATGTGATGATGCCTTTGAGGGGCTGGCGGCGCGGGCTGGCCGGAGGGGCGCACGCGAAGCACTCGCCCAGCTGGTGCAATTCCGGCCGTGCGATGGGGAGCAGGCTGAAATCCGGATCGTCGATTTGCTGGGAGAACAGTGCCGCTGAGAACCGAGAGAGGAGCAGGGGGGGAGAAGGAGCTGAGGGGGGAAATAGTTCGCAATGACAGAGTTAGAATAGAACCAGTAAAAGCGGGTGTGACACGAAACGGCTGGGAAAAGGGACAGGGGGGAGCATCGGAGAATGAGACGAACCAGCAGGAGAGGACGATGATGCTTTTCGGGAGGTTTCGGAACTAGGATAGGCCGGATGTCTCCGCCGCCTGATGGAAAATCTCCCTGCTGACAGCTGATGATGGATTATTTTACTGGATTTGAGCTTGGCCAATGGTGATAATAGCGGATGTTTGCTGAGAGCTTGTATCGGGGACAGGGAGAGAGCTTGCGCAGCTGCTGACGAATTGGATACTCGGAATTGCGATAACGAGAACGGGTTTGGTGAGGACGCGCAGATCGCGCAGCGCGCGATGTCAACCATGGCGGCGTTCGAGCGACGCACAGACTCCGCTTCTTCCGCGCAATGAATCGGCTGCTTGCGAGCGCTGGCGAGAAACCGTATTTACTTCTGAAGGTATCCGTCCTAATGCGCCCTAAAGGATGTATGTGCGCCCGCTTTTACGAAAAGAGCTTTCAGAAAGCACGTCCACATCCGCAATCCAAGTCGCTGCGACGGAAACGGAGCGTTCTGTTAGGAGCTATCTAACTACAGCCTTACGATTGCGCTGATGTCGTCATAAGCAGCAAGCAGCAGTTTTCTGGATGAATGAATTGGCCGCACGCTCACAAGGGGGAAATTGGTGGTGCTGGTTGGTTGTGTACCAGGAAACTTGCCGATGGCAATCTGCACCTCTCACGAAGAACGGCGAACACAAATTGAGAACAAGAGGTGAGAATCATGTCACGTCCGTAAACAATGGTTTGCGAAGTCAGCAGGTTTTCGCGTATTGACGTGGTCCATCAGACGACGAGGTGTCGCCACCGTGATGTGGCAAAATACCCCACCCCATCAAACCAAAAGAATACTCTAGGCGCGGTGCGTTGAAGAACCTCGTATTCATATCTTCGTTACAGCAACAAGTTGAACATATATGTATGTCAATCGCGACGATATATAGCGTATTTCATCGTATTTTAACTGTTGTTCTTCTCCCGAAACTTGCTGACGAGAGGGATCTACCGACTACTAACTACCATACTGCTCACTGTGTACCGTACCGTTACCATACTACCTGCTACCACCCTACTAGAAACTACTTTGCAGCTTACTTTATTGCTGCAGCATCTACAACCCACACCCCACCTCTGAGCAACTCGAGCGACAAGTCCATAACTGATGCGAATATAATAGGTACGACGCATTATAAGCAGGTGGGAGACTCGCCTCACCCTCCGCACCACATCAGCAAGATCCAGGACTTCAGTCCACTCAAAGTGAAACAGCCTCCAGCTCCCTCCTCCCTCCCCTGTGTGTCGCGGCAAGCCTCACTCCCCTTTCACTGAAGGGCTTCCGGGCAGAGATTGAAATGCAAACTCAACCCCCTGCCCGCTAGAAGTGCTTCTCCACAAAAAAAAACGAGGGCCTCCAGGTTCCGCCTCCCCCTGTGTGTCCTAACAGACACCTCTTCCAATCCGATATTTTATTTGTTGGAGGAAAGGCTGCCCCTCACGCCCCTAAAAGTGTTTCTCCACAAAGGAAAACAGCGCCTCCAGGTTCCGCCTCCCCCTGTGTGTCGCAACGGGCCTCTCTCCGTTGAACAGCATGAGCGTGGGGAAGCCTGGGATCTTGTACTTGTCTGTGAGCTCGGGGTATCTGTACGCGTCCACCCGGGCAACCTGTTGATCGCGGGAGGAAAGGGGTGAATTGACTCATGAGTCTTGGCACGTGGCAATTAGTGTATCTCTCTCCGTTGAACAGCATGAGTGTGGGGAAGCCTGGGATCTTGTACTTGTCTGTGAGCTCGGGGTATCTGTACGCGTCCACCCGTGCTACCTGGTTGTGCGTGGGAGGAGGGGTGTGAACTGTCACTTGAGTACGTAGCGATTGTCCTTAATGAAAACCCCACCTGCACCGAGCTATACCACTCTTGCCCCACCTGCACCGAGCTATACCACTCTTGCCCCACCTGCACCGAGCTATACCACTCTTGCCCCACCTGCACCGAGCTATACCACTCTTGCCCCACCTGCACCGAGCTATACCACTCTTGCCCCACCTGCACCGAGCTATACCACTCTTGCCCCACCTGCACCGAGCTATACCACTCTTGCCCCACCTGCACCGAGCTATACCACTCTTGCCCCACCTGCACCGAGCTATACCACTCTTGCCCCACCTGCACCGAGCTATACCACTCTTGCCCCACCTGCACCGAGCTATACCACTCTTGCCCCACCTGCACCGAGCTATACCACTCTTGCCCCACTTGCACCGAGCTATACCACTCTTGCCCCACCTGCACCAAGCTATACCACTCTTGCCCCACTTGCACCGAGCTATACCACTCTTGCCCCACCTGCACCGAGCTATACCACTCTTGCCCCACCTGCACCGAGCTATACCACTCTTGCCCCACCTGCACCGAGCTATACCACTCTTGCCCCACCTGCACCGAGCTATACCACTCTTGCCCCACCTGCACCGAGCTATACCACTCTTGCCCCACCTGCACCGAGCTATACCACTCTTGCCCCACCTGCACCAAGCTATACCACTCTTGCCCCACCTGCACCGAGCTATACCACTCTTGCCCCACCTGCACCGAGCTATACCACTCTTGCCCCACTTGCACCGAGCTATACCACTCTTGCCCCACCTGCACCGAGCTATACCACTCTTGCCCCACCTGCACCCAACCACAGCCCTCACCACACCCCCGCCTGCACGTTGAGGCTCTCCTGGTGCAGCTGCCTTTTCTTCCCTTCATCCCCTTTAACACAGCACACAAGCCTTCCACCAGTCACCAACATGCACCGAGCCATACCACTCCCAACTCCCCCACCTGCACGTTGAAGCTCTCCTGGTGCAGCTTTTCTGCCAGGGCCGCCCATGCCGCCTCCATTCGCTGGCAGTAGGGGCACCAGGGCGCGTAGAACATGACAAGGGTGGGCCTGGAGAGGGGGGGAGTGACGCACGTGAGAGATACGGGAGGAGGGATTGGAGACACAGACAAGGACTGCAGCCATGCGGCCTCCATGCGCTGGCAGTAGGGGCACCAGGGCGCGTAGAACATGACGAGCGTGGGCCTGGTGAGAAGGGGAGGGAGGGGAGGGGAGAGAGGGGAGGCACAGAGACAGCAGCACTGTGCGCCCATGCTGCCATGCCGCCTCCATGCGCTGGCAGTAGGGACACCAGGGGGCTGGAACATGATCACATAGGGCATAGGGTATGACACCTGACACCAAGAAAGAAGACCTGAGAACACCTGAGAGCACTGAGAGCACCTGAGAGCACTGGAGAGCACCTGAGAGCACCTGAGAGCACCTGAGAGCACCTGAGAGCACTGGAGAGCACTGGAGAGCACCTGAGAGCACCTGAGAGCACCTGAGAGCACTGGAGAGCACCTGAGAGCACCTGAGAGCACTGAGAGCACTGAGAGCACCTGAGAGCACCTGAGAGCACCTGAGAGCACTGGAGAGCACCCGCGTCTACCTGGACGCGAAGCGACTCAATTTAAAAGCACTTGAGAGTTAGTCCGCGTTGCCTTAGGAACACCTGAGAGAACCTGAGAGTACCTGAGAGCACCTGAGATCACCTGAGAGCACCTGAGAGCTCACCTGAGTCGCAGAACATGGGGCAGAGTAGCCGCAGACAGTTCGATCACTCCTGGCTTCGCCTCCCTCCTGGTCGACGAACAGTGCAAAATGGCGCAAGGACAGAAACCAAACAAGAACGCAGAGCGAGAAGAAACTTAAAACGAACAACGGTGCGAGAAAACGATGAAGCACACCACGGACCGTGAAAGACGACGCCCACTCGTGTGGAAACCAGCAGCTAAGTGTCAACACTTACAGGTAGAAAGGAACCTTCTTTCCGGTTTCCCCGACCCCCATGATTTGCTCCTCCCCCAACACTATCACTGGCCCCTCCCTCGTTACAGCCACCCCCTGCGCATCCCCCCTGTCCGCCGCTGCTGCTGCATCGCCGCCTGCCAGAAGATCCTCGCTAAGAACCGACCCGCTAGAAGCAGCAGCCTCGCTAAGAACAACCCCGCTAACAGCCCTCCCGGTGGGGGCTACAACGGCGGACATATTTCGTCCCAGTCCGAGCCTCCCGCCAGTCGCGCTCGTGACAAGAGCCATGGCAAAGCCAATAGCCGCGGCGCCAATCCCAAGCCCCAGAATCCATTCCTCCCACGACCACGTCATCCTGAGCCCTCCCATTCGCGGAGGCAGCAATCCTCCCAGCCTCGCGTCGCCTCCCAACCTGCTCGATTCTGAAAACTCGGCGGTTGCCGCGTTTCCTCCTGAGAAGTTCGAGGCTGGAGTCAGCGAAAGAGAGGTTGCTGGGGAGCTAGAGTGGCTATTTTGTGGAGCTAGGGTTTCGGAAAGGACGCGGAGAGCGTCGGGGTTGTATCTCGAACTCTCGGCTGCTGCTGATGCTGGGGCCGAGTCGCTTGCGACAGGGGAGTGGCGAACGGCGAAATGAGATGGGATGGGTTCGCGAGCTCTGATTATCGCAAACGATTCAGCATCTGTTCCTGCTGTTGGTCCTGCTGCTGCTGCTCCTGCCAGGGTGCCTCCAGCTGCTGTAGCTGCTTCCTGTGCGGCTGTGGTGGGGTACCGAAAATAAGGTCGCTCTTGATCGTCGATTCCTGGGAGGTCCCCATCCGCCAGCGTTGGCTGTGCTCCTGTGAACGCGTTTGGCAGCCATACCATTGAGTTCTGCGATCAGGTGCAACCAAGGAAGATTATATTTTTAAGTCGACCAGAACAAAAAAAAAATGCTATTATGGGCAAACATGCATTACAGCTCGAGGCGTCAATATGAATAAAGTTGAGGCAACATAAACTCAAGGAAGGACCTTGAACTACTGCTTTGCGTCGAAATGACGAAAGCGTTCGAGTTTTTTTGAGTCGTAACTTTACGAAAGGCGTAGCACGAGGATAAACGAACGAACCTGATTGTCCACCTCGACACCGTTAGGCGAAACTCGCCTTCGCGAATCAGCCGCAAACATACCGCTCCATTCCTCTGCGCTCTCGCCTCTAACATTTCCCAAGCCAGCGCGAACCGCGCTCTTACTGGCAGGCAACACGTGATGTAAACGAGGAAATGTTCCCGGTCCTACTTGCCTACTCGAGAGAGGAGCTAAGCTCCTCATTATAAAAGACCACCAGCCACGCGAATGCTCAGCGGGTACACGCGCTGCGATTTGTCAAGCAAGGTACGGAAGAAAATATGGTATGCGAGGAGTATCGTCACGTCACCTAAAGGACGTGGAAGCCAGCGCCCGTGGAGATAACGAAGAGCAGGGACAACTGAGAGAGCAGAAGGAGTGGTTGGAGAGAAAGTGCAGTGTTGAGAAAACCTAATCGGGAAGGAAAGGCGCAAACCTAATCACACGCGCCCTAACCACAAAGCAGAGAACGTAGACTGAAGAAACATGGAGAACTCTGCTGAATATCGAGAAATCGGGGACGCGACAAACCCTAGGAGTCACTTGCGGAAGAAGCTTTTTATAAAAAAGTCACTTACCCTATATTTCCAACTCTGTAAAAAAACTTGCGTCAGTGGATCCAGAATGTACACGCCTGGCTCTTCCACCAAATATGTACACGACTGCACTCTTATAAGCTGCCCTAAAATAGAGATACAGAAACAACAGAAACGAACAACGAGGCCTCCTCTTTATCTCTGATTGGTTGTTATCACGCCTCGAGCGGTGCTTGCGTGGATATCGGTGGAGGCCGAGAAGTGTGAGGCTCCAACAAATCAGGAGATTCCCGTTACTTGCAACTGCGCTTCTGCAGAAGGAAATACACTTCTCAGTACAGTTCACTGCAATAGCCCCTGCTTTTTCGCGTTAGCAGTAAGTAGTATCTAGAAGGATTTGAAATATACTTTATCTGGTTCCGTATGTTCCTATCGCAATTTCCTACACCCGAGGTGCAACAAGAAACCATGGAAGCGAGACACGTTACAGACGTTAGCGTCACTTAGGGGGCTAGCAGCGCTCGTGAATAAGGGCGTATCCCTGGGTGGTGGCAGGGCCACTGAAGCAGGCACTGTTGGTGGCATGCGGGAAAACCGCATGCCACCAACATTTTGCCCGAAGCGCGCGCGACCTGAAATTGGTGGCATTGAAATGACATTTCTGGGACATTGCCCAATCACGAACCTGTATTTGCGCGCCAAGTTTCCTGACACCAACCTGGCGTTTTAGGGGTTCGTGGCAGGCTGCCATCTACAGTAGCCCTGCCACCACCCAGGGATACGCCCTAATTATACGAAATTCCACCAGTTGGGCTGTCAGTAGGCAGACAAATTTCCTCTAAAGACAGTCGTAGTTTTCACTCGAAAGGTTTCTTGTCCCAAGCTCGTCCCATTCTATGGCAACCATGGCTGCCGCCCCCATGGTTTCGTCCATTCCCCAACTCCAGACCGTGCCTCCAGCCATTTCGTCCACCGTCAGAGTCTCGCTTAGAATCACATCCGTTAGAGTCACACCCGTTAGAATCACCCGCAGACGCGCGCAGCGCATTCAGAGAGCATCAAACGGCGATATGAACGTTTCAATAACTGCGTCCGAAGCAGCCGAGCGACGAGAGGCGAAATTGAGGGAGCTTATAGCGGAGCAGACGGCGCAAGAGCAGGAAGAGGAGAAGCCGTACAGATTTGTCGACGGACGAAAGTACTATCTAGATGAGCTGGATATCCCGGGATTCCTGGACGGCTCGCGGTATTTACGGCCGTCCGATCCGGAAACTTACAATCCGGCAGTATTCCTGTGGTGAGCGTTTCGATCGAGGCATCTATTATCGAGTACGAGGTTCAGTGTATCCTGATATATACATATGTATTGTTCCATAGACAAGGCAAGTTCTTCCTTATTCGCTTGCAAGAGTCAGCTTTGCTTCTCACTTTTGCTCGTTCGGCCTTCGTTGTTCAAACTTTCTCGTTCGTGTTCCTCCATTACTCACCATCAGTCCCCTCCTCTTATTCTCCCTTCGGTTCTGTCGCGCTCTGATTGGCTGCAGGAGGAAGATTGGCGACATTCCCGAGGAGAGGCGCCACAGGCTGCTGGACCTGCTCAAGCCGCAGTCAGTACATTAAATCAGTACACTTTGTATATAATCAGTACATTATTAAACCAGTGCAATTTGTTTATTTTTGAATTCCATAACCCAGTTGATGTTGACCCACCCAACCACACCCTTGTAGAATGCGGTTGACCCACCCAACCACACCCCAACTTCCTCTTCCCTTCGCTCTCTGTGCTGCTTTGCTCACGTCACTGTCGTGTAAGATGCGGTTGTGAATAAGGTTGACCTTTTTCTCCCCTCGTTACGCTCACGTCTGCTATGCTCCATCACCCTCGTGTGTAAGATGTGGTTGTGGGAGACGGGTTGACCCCTTTTCTCCCCTCTCCATGCTCACGTCATCACCCTTTTCCAGCTGGAACAGCAACCACCCACCCCCTTCTCATCCCCCTCTCACCCCCCTCTCACCCCCCTCTCACACCCGCTTCCCCCCCACTTCCCCATCTTCCCCTTTCCCCTCTTTCCCTCCCTCCCCCCTTTTTCCCCCATTCCCCACCTCCCCCCGCTCCCCCCTTCCCCCCCCCTTGCTCTCGTTATAGTCACTTCACCCTCATGTGGGATGCGGCCGGAAATCGCTTTCAGCTGGAGCAGGAAGGTGGGGAGGAAGGTGCGGACCCGGAGACTTCAGCAGGCGGGATGCTGCCGGACGTTGCCACGTCAGCACTGCTGCAGCCAGAAATATGGGATGGGCGGGTGATTGGAGGTGAGAGTTGTTTGGGGGGGGAAAGGGAGGGGACGGGAGGGGAGGGGAGGGGAGGGGGGGAGGGGAGGGGAGGGGAGGGGGGGGAGGGGAGGGGAGGGGAGGGGAGGGGAGGGGAGGGGAGGGAGGGGAGGGGAGGGGAGGGGAGGGGGTAGTGGAGGAGGTTGGAGCAGAGTAGAGGAAATTGGAGGTGCAGGGGAAGGGAGGAGGGTGGGTTGCGGAAGTCTGTGGAGGTTTGGTTGGAAAGTTGCCATACCCTTCGCCAGGATGGAAGGGTGGATTGGGAGTTCGTGACTGCATCGCAACACATGCCCCTTCATTCGCCTTCATGTCGCTTCATGTCCCTTCAGTGGCTCTGCATCGCTCTCTGTTCGTCAGTCAAATTACACCTCACTCTCTATATCACTATCCCCGTCTGCACCTCTCTCCATCTCTCTATCTCCCACTACACCTCTCTTCATCTCAACTCCTTTCCCCAAGTCACACTCCTCCCTCCACCTGTCCATCCTACCACTGCCCCCTTCCCTCGCACCACTCCCCCTACCACCCCCCCCCCACCAATCCCACGTCCGCTCTCATGATTTGGGGACATATTTTTTTTCTCCATTCGCCTATTTATCTGCCCTTTCCCCTCCACCCTGCCACACCACCAGTCCCAGGTCCGCTCTCATAATTTTTTAATGCTTTTTCCTCCATTTGCCTATTCGTCTGCCCCCGTACCCGTTTCAACCCTACCCTACCCCATCACCACATCCAGCTGTCATGGTTCGCGCAGTGGTCCTCCCCACCACAACCCTACCTCAATCTGCAGTGGATAGGGGACATGACTGTCCGATGCTTATTCCTCCATCCGTACGCCAATCCATCTCCCCTCCCCAACCCCCCCTCCCCCTCCTTCACCTGACACCCATCACCAGTCCCAGGTCCGCTCTCATGGCTTGCGCAGTGATCGGAAACATGACTGTCTAATGCTCATTCCTCCATACGCATATCCACCACTCTCCCCCCGCCGCCACTCACCCTACCCCCATCCCCAGCCTGGTCATGAGCTCATGGCTCCTGCGGTGGATAGGGGACATGACTGTCCAATCCTTGCTCCTCCATACGCCTATTTATCTCACCCCCGCACCTCCCCCCCCTCCCTCCTTTTTTCCGCCTGTCAACCCCAGTCCCAGGTCCCCTCTCATGGCTTGCTCGTTTTCAAAAGGTGCCAACACCGCCTTAGCTCCTGCCTCTTCCTCTCTTTTTTTCTGTGTTTTTTTTTTAAATTGAATTACGCCTGGTTAAAAAGTCAAAGTATGCCTGGTAAATCGCTTTTGCTCACTTCCAATTCACCCATGTTCAACCCTGCAAAATCATTTACAGTGTTTTACTTGCCCCGAATGTAGCAGACATTGAATTCACCTTTTTTTTTGTTTCTTGCCGTTTTATATTGTCAACTCGCATTCACCCCTCTGCAGTCATTCTTTGTTGGCACTGATGGGCTGCGTTATGGTCGAGTCATCTCAGGTACGTTAAATCTCTCAGGCACGTTACATCTCTCAGGCATGTTACATCTCTCAGGCATGTTACATCTCTCAGGCATGTTACATCTCTCAGGCATGTTACATCTCTCAGGTGTGTTACATCTCTCAGGCACGTTACATCTCTCAGGTACGTTACATCTCTCAGGCACGTTACATCTCTCAGGCACGTTGCTTGCACCTCTCAGATGCGTTACATCTTTCAAGTATTTTGCACCTCACTCAGGTTAGCAACAAATATGATGAACAATCACTTTCAAGCCATAACATACTCTTTGTTGCTATTCTCTCAGAGCCTTCCCGTTCATTCTCTCCCTTCTCCTTTCACCCCATCAGGTGGCCCCCTCTTTACTGGCCTCTCCAATACAATCACTCCCTTGTACTTCCGCATCCGGGCGGCAACTCAAGTCCTGGCAACAGACGAGTCGTGCGATCTCTCCTTCGACTACGAGTCCGGGCAGCTCCACCTGAAAGATTCCGGGCTGCCCGAAGGCTTCCCTGACCCCCGTGAGTTGAGCTCTGTGTGACATTATAACAGGGGGTCAAGGAAGGTACGATTGCAAAAGAATCCATGCAATCCATGCTTCTCACTCTCTCTCCCGTCTGTGAGGGCAGGAATAGAACCAACCAACCAGGTCCCCACCCGCCCATATTCCATGATGATTTCAGATACTATGTGAGGGCAGCGGGGGCGGGGGTGATAGTGGGGCAGTCATGGCAGGAGGGGTTCCCTTCTCCTACAATCCTTCCTGCTCATTCTCACTATCTTCCTCCCTTCTACTCCTCTCTCTCCCCAACACCTATTCCTGACCCTACCAGGCCCCCACCCGCCCATATTCAACGATGATTTCAGGGACTGTGTGTGAGCCGCGGGGCCCGGGGTGATAGTGGGGCAGTCATGGCAGAAGGGCCGGGGAGTAAGGGGCTCTTCACTCTCTCTGTCTCCACAATCCGTTTTCCTCTCGCTCTGTCTCCCTCCCTTCCATCCCTGCTTCTCTCCCCACTCCCCCTCCCTGGTCCCCCTCCCTTCTCTCCTATCAGGACCCCACCCGCCCATATTCAACGATGGATTCAGGGAGGCAGCAGGGCCGGGGGTGATAGTGGGGCAGTCGTGGCAGGAGGGCAGGGAGGTGGATGCACTCACATATGCCTCCTCTCTCTCCCCTTTGTTTCCCACTTTTCCCCACAACTGCTGCCCTCTTCTCCCTTCTTCCCTCCGCTCCCATATTCAACCAGGCCCCCACCCGCCCATATTCAACGACGATTTCAGGGACTACGTGAGGGCCGCGGGGCCGGGGGTGATAGTGGGGCAGTCATGGCAGGAGCGCAGGGACCACCCTTCCATCCCCACTCTCTTCCCCCCCCCCAATGGCCCTCTTCTCTTGCCAACCAAACCAGGATCCCACCCGCCCATATTCAACGATGATTTCAGGGACTACGTGAGGGCAGCGGGGCCGGGGGTGATCGTGGGGCAGTCGTGGCAGGAAGGGTTCCTTTCTCCTACAATCCTTTCTTCTCATTCTCACCGTCTCCCTCCCTTCTACCCCTCTCTCTCTCAACCCCTATACCTGACCCTATCAGGTCCCCACCCCCCCATATTCAGCGATGATTTCAGGGACTATGTGAGGGCAGCAGGGCCGGGGGTGATAGTGGGGCAGTCGTGGCAGGAGGGCAGGGAGGTGGATGCAGAGCCGAGGCAGTTCCTGGGGGAGTTTATCCTCGTTAGAAGACACCCTCACCAAGTGAATGTCTGATCCAAGATAGAATTGTACCACAATGTATTGTCTGGTTCGGTTCTATTATGCTAGCCGCTGTTCGGCATCAGTACTAAGAATGTAACCTAATTTTCTGTTTGGAGGATGTGATGTACCCTTTTATGCCATCTCACACAGCGCGCATGAACCTGTCTGTACGCAAATGCTCTTATCACGGAAGAGGTGTTTAGTATCCCCCTTCTGATGAGTGAAATGTTTCATGAATGAATGTAACTTCTGTTACAGATCTTCAAACATATACTATCATAACGATTATAGTGCAGAATGTTACCGTCTACAGGAGGGAACAGCAGCAGTGAGAGTCATGACACCACACGAGTCTTTTTTCGGCTTGCCCTGAGCACACACCCGCATTGTCACTGGCCCTTTCACCAGCCGCCCCAAAAAGTGGGGCAGCTGAAACTTGTACAGGCGCTGACAGCCTTTTCCGGGCAACCCGAATTGCAGTCGCAGGTAGCGAATGTTCTTATACCTGAAATGGAGAACAGTACAGCCGGCATAGATAGTACCGTACATGTTCTTAATCACACACTCGTAAGGTGTACATCCGAACAGAATAAAATACAAAGCGTGAAGAGCCAAATGCATCGTAGGAGAAAACGAAGAGCAACAACACAAGGGGGGTAATGAAGGTGACGAAACAAGATATGCGGAGAGGAATGACGAACCCAGCAGGAACGGTAAGGTAATAACTGAGAATATGATGTGATGTGTTTGCAGGAGTTATCTACTGGTAGGATTTCGACAACTGGGGCTGAAGAGTGTTATACATTAGAGAATGCTTGGGATACATAGTCGCGTGATTACAGGGCAAAGCCTTGTATTGAGGGGACTGGGCAGGAGGGGTCTAAAGGATTGGATTATGTGATTACAGTATGAGGAGTTGGTAAGGGTACTCACGTGATTACAGTGAGTTGTCTTGTGTTGGGGGGACTGGGGCAGGAGGGCTTGAGGGGGATGAAGAGCATGGAGACGAACGGGCCAGAGGAGCAGGAGGGGGTGGAGGACTAGGGCAGGAGGGTTTGAGGGGGATATAGAGCATGTAGATGAATGGGCCAGAGGAGCAGGAAAGGGTGGATGGAGGACTAGGGCAGGAGGGTTTGAGAGCAGGAAGAGTTAAGGGCGTGAAAGAGCACTCTCGTGATGACAGTGAGTTGTCTTGTGTTGGGCGGACTGGGGCAGGAGGGCTTGAGAGGAATGAAGAGCATCGAGACGAACGGGCCAGAGGAGCAGGAAGGGGTGGAGGACGGGAACACAAAGCCGATCCCCTGCGCCGAGCCTGCTGCCGAGCCTGCTGTCGAGGCGGCTCCCGAACCTCCGGCGCCTGCCGAGCTTGCTTGTGGCCTCGGGGTTTGGTTACTGGAGGGCGATATAGTTGCCAGCTGTCGCTTGGGTGGGTCGGAAGGGGTATTGCCGCTGCTGCTGCTGCTGCTGCTGCTGCTGCTGCTGCTGCTGCTGCTGCTGCTGCTGCTGCTGGAGGCTTCGGGCGAGGTGAACTCGAAATAGGTACTGGTGGAACCCACCACCATAGGAGGACTAGGTTCGGAAACCGAGCCTGGCGGCGGTGAGGCTGGGTTGGGTGAGGCTGGCGGTGGTGGTGGTTGTAACGGGGATGATTCTAACGAGTTGTTAGTGGGGGGAGTTGGGAGGGGGAGGTGAGGGGGGGAGGGGAGGAATTTCCGGGGGAGGGGGGAGTTGGCGGATTGCAGGGTTGGGATGGCGCTGGGGAGGGGGAGATTGTGGGGGGAGAATTACCAGGGAGAGGGGGCGAGGGGGAGATATGCGAAGGGGGAGAGGGGCAAGGCGGAGGTGATGCGGGAACTGTACGGTTTGCGGTGTTGTTTGTTGGAACAAACGCGACGTCGTAAATGAACGTGGCCTGTAGCGGGGAGGACGACGTGGGATCAGACAAAGCAGGGGAGTGGTGACGGGCAGATAGCAAAACATTACGAACACAAATATTGCATATTCTAGCGAGCATATGAAGCAACCGAGCAAGGGGATTGGTTCTGATAAGTCCAATCCGGAAATAAGGACAACGGAAGGCCAAAAACGAAGCTAAGAAGGAAATGAAAACAAAAAGAAAAAGAATAGGGGTAGGAAGAAGCAAGCACTCGCGCGTACCGGCGAAGACGACGAATTGCCGGAAGCAGCTCCAGCAGGAGCGGAACCGTCGCCAGCTGTCGCATTCGATCGCGCGACGACGACGAGCGTCGCAATGAAAGCGCGTCCTTCCGGAATATTCAACCCGAGCGCTTCCGAAGCGATAATCACCCCCTTTGTAATCACGGCGCTTATAATCGTCCGCAACGACCCAAACTGCTTCGTATTGTTCACTTTTACCGCGATATTCCACAGCAGGTTTAGAAGCTGCTGCGATCCCCGTCTAAAGCGCGCGCGAAATTGTTTTCGCAGCTTCTTTGCTGGACTGGATCGCGCACCGGAACCTCCTCTCCTCCGCTTACCGGCGCTCGAGGGAAACTTGGTTTTTTTTCCGCTGCTAGGTTTAGGTTTTGGAGTCACACGCGTAGGGAGGCTGCGACCGCCGGTAACAACGTTGGCGACTGCGATGAGGGAACGCTGCGACGATCGCCGCGTTTCCTTTAACGAAAGTTCTTCTTTCGACTCCGGCTCGTTTAGGTCGAGGTCGCTCGCCCACTGCGTTTGCGCTACGCTCGTTGTTGTCACATCCGCTTCATCATCTGACCCATCTCTGAACCCAGAACTGTCCATCTCTTCGCTCCCCTCCCTGCCCACGCTGCCTTCCGCCTCGACTTCCGCCGTTTCCGCCGCTTCCGCCGCATCTTCCGGTTCTTCCGACTCCGAGCGTTCGCCGTCAACTCCCCCCTCATCCCCCCTCCGCGTGCCCCATTCCCGGTCCCATCCCTCCATACCATCCCCCTCCCTTTGCCCGTCGCCTTCCCCCTCCCATTCCGCCGCTTCGTCCCCCGCCCGCCAAAGCCCCTCTAGTTCCTCCGCGCTCATCCCTCCAAGCGCATCCGCTCCCCACTCCCCCTCATCGTCACCCTCCCCCTCCTCGTCCCACTCCCCCTCGTCATCGCCCTCCCCTCCCTCGTCCCACCCCCCCTCCTCCTCTCCCTCCGCCTCCCCGTTTCCCTCCTCTTCTTCTTCCTCTCCTGCGTATTCATCCTCCCCGCCCTCTCCCTCTCCCTCTCCCTCTCCCTCTCCCTCTCCCCCCTCCCCTTTCTCGTCTCGTCCGCCTTCCGCCCCATCCTCGACGTGTCCCGCTTCTCTAAGAGTACCCTCGTCGTCCGCGCTTGTACTCGATTCGTTACTCGTCCAAAACGACTTGAAAGAGCTCCACCAGTTCTGCCGTTGATTGGATCTGTCTTCTGCTAAAGCCATTTCCCCGTTATCCGCGATACTTCTGTGCTTTCCCAAGTCCAAGCCGCCCGCCCCTTGCGCTTCCGCCCCTTGCGCCGCTTCAGCCCCTTGCGCTGCTTCAGCCCCTTGCGCCGCTTCAGCCCCTTGCGCCGCTTCAGCCCCTTGCGCCGCTTCCGCCCCCAATGCCGCTTCCGCCCCCTGCGCCGCCACTTCTGTCCCCTGTATTTCCGCCAAGTCAGGTACTCCTTCCTCGTGTCTCGACTCCCGTTGTATCCTGTTACTACCTTCGTCGAAAGTTTCCGCCGCACTGTCCGACAGTGAATCTACATCCGGCAACGGAAATCGAGACGCTGCTTCAGGAGATCTTTGAAAATCGAATGACTGCTGACTGGCGCTTCCAGCGTTATTTGCGGCGCGTGACACGGCGCGACTTTCGGCGTGAACTGCGGTGCAGCTGACAGCGACCACAGTCAAGAGCAGAATAGCGATCCGAGATCGTCGCATCCACGCTAAGCACTCTCGCATTCCTATCGCTTGCGCTAATGGTAACCCTAATTTCTTGTGGAACCTTCGCGAAGCACTCCTTGTAACAAGTTGCTCCATTTCGTATAGAAATCCTCGCAGAACGGAATTGCTGCCGGAACTGCAGATGCCTACTTAAGACAGCCTTGCGGGTCGCGCAATATGAATGACGTGGCGCCGACGTCCTGCGACGCTACGAGAGCGACACATCAGGATTGTATACATTAGGCCATACTGGTGTGTGGCGCGTCACTCTCGTAACATATGTCCTCCATGACTCCGTACGCCTAAAAAATAAAAAACTACGAGAGCGATACATCAGGATGTATACGCGCGTCCCTCTCGTAACATATGTCCTCCTGAGACCCTACGCCTAAAAAAAGGATACTACGAGAGGAATACATCAGAGAAACAAGACATCTGTGCACCTGCTGGGATGGCGGTGTGTGGCGGTGACTGGACTGGTAACCCGGTAACCACTATTGAGTCTGAGGAGGCGGGAGCGATTGGCATACATATCCGACTGTGCCTCAAACCTCGATGGCCTCTCGGTCGGCTTTGCGAGTCGAACACGACACCACGGTAGCATGGAATGGCGCAGGGCGCGGAGCGCAATGCATATGCGCGAGCGGAGTTGCACTGAGGTGAATGGAGTGGAACTGTAGTTGGGGGGAAGGGGAGAGGGGGAGGGAAGGGGAAAGGCCTCCCTTCGATGCGTGAGGTAGAGTCGACTCAGGGGGACACCAACCTCGGACAGCGGGACAATGCTGTATGCGCGGAACAGTCAAGACTCGCGACGTCAACACCTATGTAATTACTGTACACACGCCGCGACGCGACGTGTAATCTGTAGATGAAAGTGGGCGAGATATCGAGACGAGAGGAGCCGGTGGACAGTGGTGGTTTCATGTACAGAACATTACACAACAGTACAGAGCACAACCAGTGTGATGACCAATTATTTACGCAATAGGGAACTGAAGCGAGGAAGCTCGAAGCGCAAGGACGTTGGTCCAGTCGGATGATTGAGGGAGGAAAGGAGGGAAGGAGGGATGGGAAGGGATGGAATGGATGGATGGGGGACTGATGTAGGAAAAGCTGATTTGGGGTGG